CTTTGCGCCTTTCCTGGAGCTCACTTGGTAGCCCAGGCTGGCCTCGAACTCACAGAGATCCGCCTGGCTCTGCCTCCCGAGTGCTGGGATTAAAGTGGAATTCGTCTTTTAAAGGTTGCTTTGTGACACTTGAAGAGCCAAATTCAGAACACACAAGCATTTTTTTTTTTTAGTAGGTGGATTCTCCTAAAACAATGTCTATCACGTGGTTACAATACGCTCACTTTGTACTGCGCCATTTGCCCTTTTGGACTTTTTGGCTCACGCTTGGGGAGAGCTGGACCCCTCCGCCCTGCATCTACGTTGCCTGGGAGAACAAAGACGCTCTTCTCCTCCCGGGTCGCCGAGCAAACCTTCCGGCACAGCGTGTCTGCCCACACTACCTCAGTAACTACCCCGTGCTTCCCCGGAGCTGCCGCCCTCCCCGCGGCTCCACCCGGCCCACCTTCCAGGAGAGCGCCTCACTTCCGCCTCTCCCCGCCTTCGTCCAGCTCCTCCTACTGATCGCCGCCCGGAAGCCCAGCGGAAGCCCACTGCGCAGGCGCCCTAGTCAGCACCGCCCCGCTTCCTGTTCGTCCGGCGCCTTTCAATTGCGGATTGGCTGCCGCTGAGGCCTGGGAAGTCTCGCGAGTTTTGTCTCCAGCCGCGGGCGCGAAGCGGTACCTGTTGCTGGCGGGCCGTGGTCTCGTCTCCTCGCTGCCGGTTCCGCTCCCGTTCCGGAGCCTCCGGGCCCAGCAGCATGACGTCTGCCTTGGAGAACTACATCAACCGTATCCGCGGGCGGGCGGCTGCCAGGCCGCGGCGGGACCGGGGCCGGGGGCGCGGGCGGCGGGCGGCGCGGGGGAACTCGGGGTCCCGGGGCGCGGCGGCGTCATCCGGACCGACCCAGGACTCTTTCCCCCCATCCCAGATCCCAGTGGGGAGAACTCGGGGTCCCGGGGCCCGGCGGCGTCATGCGGACCGACCCGGGACTCTTTCCCCCATCACAGATCCCAGTGTCCTCAGAACTTTCCTGCTTTTCGGTTGGTTGCTCCCGATTCCGCAAGGCTTGTGTGTTCCAACACCGGGACTAAGATGAACTGTTCTGTCAGTTCGTAGGTTCTCGAAGGCTTGCTGTTCGTTCCGGGGTAGCATAAATAGAAAGATGGTTCTCAAATTTGAATTTCGGGTCCCCTACCTCCGCTTGAAGTGTCTATGCGATAGAATAGAAAGAAAGCTTGTAGTCGTGGTGGGGTTTAATGACAGGCAGGTAGCTTTCCAAAGCCCTTATAAAATTTTAAAAGAGAACTGCTGCTTCAGAACCGAGCATACGCACAAAGAAGAAACAAAAGTTAAATACAGAAGAGCCTTTAGTGAAGCAAAGGATATTGGTACTTGGTGGCATTAATTATGATCACGTCTTGGACTAGAAGGGTCTTAACATGCTTGAAATGATGCAGCATTGGTTAACACTCATCCGATTTTTATTTCAGAGGTGAAGAAATGGGTCTAAGAAAGCAAGGAATTGTCTTGCTCAGTGTCATAGACTGAAACCATTGCTCTTTAAATCAGGGTCAAACGTCACAGACTATACTCTTCTTCCATTTGATTGTTTTCAAGGTAGAATTGAAATAAGTTTTTTAAAAAACTTAAGTTTTCCCCCTCATGAGCTGTGTTCCATCTTAATTCTGCCACTTTTTTTTTCCCTTTCCTTTTTTAAGTAATTGAAACCATTTCCTTACCAGGCTGTAAGTTTTCAGTTTGTAATCTCTAAGAACTACTTCCCTTGACTCAGTTGTCAGGAACCGTTGCTGTTATCACTTCTGATGGGAGAATGATTGTGGTGAGTAGCATTTTTATTCTCCTCTTTCCTGTAGGCTTGTAAGTAACATTTCTGATCTGATGTTCAGGTACCACAGTATAACTTGGATTCTAGTGTTACTGTGATTCAGCTGACAAACCCTTGTCTATTGATTGCCAGTATAACTTCTCTAATAAACCTTGAAGGCCTGTGATACAAAACGCACAGCTGTTTAATAAGCTGACTCATTTTCTTCTTGGATGTTTTATTTCCATTCCATCCCCCTCCCCTTTTTAAATTTAGAGATCTTTAACGATTGACACATGCATATACTTTCTATAGGTTGCTTAACAGTGGGGAGATCCAATCTGAGAAATGTGTATTTAGTGATTTCATTGTTCTTCAAAAACAGTGAATGCAGTTTCAGAAACTAAGTTAGCTGTGACTTCACTAGGGTATGATCTTTGGGACCGTTGCTTTATCTGCTGTCTCTCAAATATTTCTTGCATGACTGTAATTTAATCCCATGTTTTCTCATTTGTGATTTCAGTTTATTTTTTCTTAACAATTTGTTTTTACTCATGTTTGTGTGTATGTCTGTGTGAATGTCTGCCTTGTGTGTGGGGCTACACTACACATGGAGCCCAGAAGACTTTGTTAGGTGCACTGGACCTGGAGTTACAGGCAGTTGTGAGCCACACTCTGTACCAGGAAGGGTCCTTTGGAAGAACAGTATATGCTCTTAGCCACTGAGCCATCTCTTCCGTCCCTTTATTTTCTTCTTAATCCTTTTGATTCTTCTTAACATCTTAGTGAGCAATCCCAGTCAAAGGGATAGACTGCCATAAACTAAATGTGTATCATGTGCTAGGGATTTTGTGTGTTACTTAGTGTGTAAACAACCTTGTGAAGATTACCACTTACTTTGTAGATTAGGAACCCAGTTTAGAAAAGAAACAAAAAACAAAAAATGAGTTACTTTCCCAGACATTCAGTATAGCAAAGTGACAAAACTGTAGTGTTGTAAACTGTGTTTTATTCCAAAACCAAGATTATGTCCCTTGCTTGTTCTTAATAAAGGACAAAATATGTAGGATTTTATTTGTTTGTAGTAGTGGTGAGTTGACAGTCTTAAATTTGTGAACTGTGGGCCATTAATAATAAGTAATTAGGAGTATGTTAGTTTCAACACTGTAAGAGGTTTGTTACTATTAACAGATAATTTGCAAATAGCTGAGTTTTGAAAACCTCATGTTTAAATTTCTTATTTCCGTTAGAAAATGTTTATAGAAGAAAAGCTAAACAGAAACATTACATTACATTCAGTAGTTCTGTCTTTATCACATAGTCACCTGACAAAATATTTGCATATAAAATGATGGCGAGAAGACCTTTTTAGGGGTTTATGGTAACCACCATTTGCTAATTGCTATAGTAAATAGTCTAATTTGTTTTTCTTCCCAATTCCCAGATTATAAGTTTCTATTTATTCCATTCTGATTTTATATAATTATGGCTTTAAGAACATGGGAGTTTAATGGTGGACCCAAGAGATTAATCACCCAAATCCAAAATAAACTATTTATTCAGAAACTTAAGCACCATTCCTCATATACGTTTTTCTGTAGCCACATAATTTTTCCTGATTGTTTCCTTCAACTTAAGTTTCTGATTATTTCAGCTCTATATATGTCAACTGTGATACTAAGAGAATTCAATAGTATGTACACACAAGACACAATATTAGCAACAAGGATATACTAAATGTTAGCTGTAACTACCATGTGATTTTGTGTGTATTTATAGATTAATTTCTGGAAAGCATTGTTTACAGCAGAATAAATAGTGTGGTTACTTTGTGATCTGGCTCTAGAGCTCCTCTTGTTTTTCTATACTGAATCTACTGTTTACTATCCATGAAATCTTGAAGCATCATTTTCTGGAGCATCGGGTCCCGAATTTGAAGTGGACAAAACACTATACTATCTCCAAGGTGAAGAAAAGTGGAGGTGATTTGTGCAGTGTGTTTCTTTAGCCAGTGCCTTTCACTAAGAAGTAACATACAGTGTTCCATTGTATGGCTGGTTTGTGCATCTCCTTATTATTAATGTTAAAAAAAAATCATTTTATCTTAAATGTGTCCTGTTTTAGTTTGTGTTCTTAGTGCTAGTTCCTAGACTGTGTGAGTTTACTTACTTGGAAGTGCTAGTGCCTGGGTGTCCTTTGCAGCTGCACCATAGTCAGGTTCCTGATACAAGTGTTTCCCGTCATAAAGCATTTTGTTTTTTCTTGCATGTTTTCTTTTCAGGGGACACTAAAAGGTTTTGACCAGACCATTAATTTGATTTTGGATGAAAGCCATGAGAGGGTGTTCAGCTCTTCACAAGGAGTAGAACAAGTCGTATTAGGATTATACATCGTGAGAGGTGACAATGTGTAAGTAAAATAAGTCGTTTTGAGTAAAGTTACATTTTCACTACTGGTGTGCTTGCATTAGGGAAGAGAGATTTTCCCCAATTTATATGATGTTATCCATACATTAATAGAATTGTGTATTTATCTGTTTTGCAGATATAGTTTATCTTGTATTTAATTTATACTTTTTATGGTGAGATACCTCAGGAACCAGTTAAAGTGGTCTCTTCACAAACCAGATATTTATCTCCTGAGACTTCATGTTCATTTACTTATCAACTTATATGATGTTATCCATATGTAATAGAATTGTGCATTTGTCTGTTGTGCAGATACAGTTTATCTTACATTTAATTTATAATTTTTATGTTGAGACCTCAGGAACCAACTAAAGTCTTCTTCACAAACCATACATTTACCTCCTGAGACTTCATTACTTATTTGAAAATTGGCCTTTGAACGTAGAGTCTTGTACATGCATAACATGCAGTCTCCCACTGATGTGTGCTCTCCAGCTCTCTTTACTTTTTGCATTTTGAGACCAGACTTTTCTAAGTTGCTTAGACTGATGTTGAACTTTAGATCCACCTATTACCACAGCCTCTGTGTATCCTAAACCACTGTTTTGTTGCTAATAGGAAAGTGACTTGGATAGGCCCCGCAAGTGCCCTGCTTTGCACCAAATTCTTTCTTGAAGAGGCTTCTTAACAACTTGGAAAAGCTCTTTAAAAATCTCCTGTTTGGGCTATTTTAAATAATTTGGGCTCATTTAGCTGTCACCGTTTTAGTGAACTGGATGTACTTAACATGTCCCATGAAAAACCCGTTGTCTTGAATTGAGGACACTGACAGTCTAGGTGGAGAATATCTTAGAGGTGGCCATTTGACAAAGGCTATAACCGTTCTGAGCAGTACACCTACTGGCTTTGTGGAGATGTAGTATTTGAGAAGTGCCTGGTGACCAAGGAACTAAATTTGAACTTTGGAGTTTGGGTTTTTTTTTTGTTGTTGATATTTTTGCTTGTTTGCTTTGGTGTTTTTTTCTTTTTTTGATAGGTAAACTTGGCTGACCTGGAACTTGCTCTATAGCCCAGACTTTCTTCATTCTTCTTCCCAAGTATTGGGATTATAGGACTAATCTGCCTTATGTGGCTAAAATTGAAATTTAATTTAAATGTTTCTAGACTATTATGAAGAGTCAAAATATGATTACAGGACAGCAAAAGATATTAGTAACTTTAGGTGGTTTGAAGGGATATGTAAGATGATAGGAGAAGGGATACTTAATTCATTTAATGGACTGTAAGTTTAATTCATTAGTGAATACTGTAAGTTTATCTTAAAAAGAATATGTGCTTTATTCACAACATTACCTGAAACCTATGTGGTAAATAGGTAGATTTCTCCTTAATCGAAATTGGGTTTATAATTTATAAAATGTTCTCTGGAGATGAATTTTAGGTGAAATTATAACATGAGTAGTAAAGGATGAGCCAGAGCAGAGGGCCCCTTGTCCTCTGACCACAGCAGAACAGATGAAACATTGTACTGTGAGTGATGGACTCATTGATTTTTAGAGTGCCTCCTATGTCTACATACAAAGAAATCAAAATTGGACATTTACCTAAACCTACCGGGGCTATAACCTGCTTTTAAGAGCTTATGAAAAAGACCTGGAGTTTTAAGAATGTTTGTAAGTAAATGGATTAGTGTCTTTCTTTGTTAGCTTGCAATTGCCCCCATGGGGGCTTTTGTTTGACTGTAAGTAAATGCAGCAGATCAACCATTCGTTTTCAAAGAGCCGATGTTCAAACACATGGCAGTATCTCTTGAATATTTTTTCCTTAATACTGCCTTCACATTGTTTCTCCAGTGCTGTGACTACAAGGGTAATTCAGTGAGTCATGAAATGGCATTTGCTTCCCACCTTACGCTCTTACTGCACCTTCTCAGTGCCACATGTTTGGAAGATGCTGTAGTTCATGGGATTTTAGAATTGTATGGAAGTTTATTTCAGCATGTACTTAATTAACTCTTGTCTGTTCCCACACTAATAATAGGGCAGTCATTGGAGAAATTGATGAAGAGACGGACTCTGCACTCGACTTGGGGAACATCCGAGCAGAGCCTCTGAACTCTGTAGCACACTGAAGACTCAGCATGTGCTTAGATGGCTGTAAATCCTGTACAGAAACTGCTTGTTCTGAAATGGTGTTTAGATTTTTTTATGAGTGTGTAATTGTGGATTTTGACTTTGTGTTCGTGTATTGTATTATGTAAATTTAAATATTTCTACATTTTTATTGGGAAACATTGCCTAAATTAATAAATGTGGTTGCCTCATTTATTTTTCTACTAAATGATATAAAAATCTAAGGATCATTTTGAAAACTTGGGAAATACCATTACTTTTGGTAATTTAATATTTATGGAAAATTGGCTGTAAAGAGAACTTAGACTATTATTGTAACATACGTGCAAATAATAGTAATAAATGAGACGTGTTTCTTTCTGTGTTTTTTTTTTTTTTTTTTTTTTTTTAAGAAAGTCACTAGACTTTTAGTATCTGAAAACAGATTTTGTATGTATCAAGTACCGTTGTACTGCTGAATCTTTTAAAAAAGATATCGGGGTATATCCGCCATTAAAGGAGCTTGTGTTCAGTGTTGTGGGTATTTACTTAAATCCAGAGCAGTGCTCTGCTGCCACACACTGTTGGTCTGTTTCATGAAGCTGCTTTCTTGACTTTTCAAAGAATTCACAGAAGCAGTGTTGTAGGTCATGTTAACTTTAAGCATTCACAAAACTGAATTTCATGTGTGGGCCAAATGGATATCTTTGGATAGAATAGAAAAATGTGTACATTTTTGTAATTCAAATAAAATCAAGTTTTTTTTTAAATGTTTTTCATTTTTTAACTAAGTGCAAAAATTTCTGTAAAGATCTGAGTAGTAAAACTGATGCTCCAAAGGTCCTGTGGGCTTTACAACAATTGCTCGCTCACCTCTGGTTACAGCATAAGCAGCAGTAGGTAATAAGTGCATAATCTTGGTTCTCTTCCCGGCAGAACCTCATTTACATAGCAGGCAGGCTTTGTATTTGGCCTGAATACCATAATTTTATTACTTAGCTTAAAATATGGTCAAAAAGAAAAGATAATGGACAGTTGGGGTAAGTTCTGGAGTGGGGCCTTTTCAGACTTCATTAACACTTAATATTCAGAATCAATGTAATCGTTTGGGTTAACCAAAAAGCCTTGTGAGGAAAGTTGTACTCTCATGCCTAGCCTGTAATGTAAACTTTTGTAGACAGTAATAAAATTAGTGTGATACAAAATGGATAAAGCAAGTAAGGTTAGGGGCTATGGGCCAGATACGCTGTTTTAATACACAGTACTTTAAGTTTTGAAACCAGTTCCAAAAATTGAGCTAGATGTTTAAGTTTTTCAAGATAATTATTCAAATACTACAAATGAAGTCCACACACATTTTCCCAAAACTGCTTGTTATACTGTGTTTTCTTGATGAGTCTGGATAAACCATCTGGAATGCTTTATTTTATGGAAGAAGTGAATGACCAGAGACCAAAAGGCTGATTATTCCTGGGTGTGTGTGACTCTGCTCACAGCCACTTCAAACGATTTCTTTTGCATGAGAGCTATAAAAGAATGTCTAGTTTCTGTGCGGTGTCAAGGTTTTTAATGCTCCTTAATGAGACTTATTCTGGAGTCAATATTCCTAAAGAGCCGCAAGTCAATTTTTTTTTAATTGTATCTGCTTTGTGATTCAGACAATGCAAAACTGAAAACCAGCTTACTGACGAGTTAAAAAATGTTTCTTGGCAAGCTATTTTCATTAAAATTGCTTGAAGGGGGCAAAGTAGGCCTTTATAAATTGGGGAGGGGAGGTTTGTTTTCTTTACAGTTGAACAGGTAATTCTTAAAAAATAGTTCAACATAACATGACTTTTAGGTTAAATCACTTTGTTAAATGGGTTCATGCTGGCAGTTTGGATTTAAAAATACTACAAATGTATTTACAAATACTACAAAGCCATGAACACTAAAAGATAAATTTTTATTAATATTTCTTTTAAAAAAACACCCTTAGAAGAGCATTCTCAAAATTTAAAGCTAATAATGTGAGAATGCAGAGGAATAAAAACGTGATTCCCATATAAGATAACCGTGTCAACATTTCTAACACTGAAAGAATTGACTCTGGATAAGAATGCAAACAGCATCTTCATAATGCTATGTGAACCCATTTGCCTAGTAGCCAGTTCTTACGCAGCCCTTCACCCACAGTATGATATATTCTGGGCATTTTTATTTGAGTGCATATCATTTTCCAGGTGTAATGCTGGATGCTTCCTGTAGTGATCCATCTATATGTGGAGACACTGAAGCTCTTTATTCATCCAGGAATTTCTAGTTATTCCTATGACATGAGAATCGAGTATCAAAATGGATTATCATTACTCAGATTGATAGATAGTCCTCTGAACTGGGCTCATTAAAGTTTCCTGTAGACTAAAGTCTTTGATCTCTACTCATTGATCTTGGTTTACTGCATCTATAATGGAACAAATGGGAATAATTGTTAAGATGAACATGGCTACCCCATTGAGTGTTTAAGATTCCATTTTGTTTGTTTGAGGCTCTCCCCTATTCCCCCTCCCCTTTTAGAACACAGTGTACTCTGTCTTAATTAATTGAGTCTTGGGCAAATGAGATAAAGTTGCATTGTTTCCATTGGAGACTAGAAGGAAGTGTTCACAAGAAACCAGCTCCATCCAGTTGTGCACAGATGTATGAGTACTAGTGTTCTGTTCGGACCAGCTGAGCATTCATTTAGTTGTGAAAGAGCTGGTTCTGCTCCACAGAGCTGTTTTTAACACTCGGTAAGTGGTGCTGTGATTACCATTCCTCCCTGTGACCTGGGCTTAGTTGTGCTTTGTGACTCGATACTGCCTCCAAATGACCATCACTTCCTTTCCTAAGTGTCAGGGACACTTGTCAAGCTGCTAATAAATACCATCTTCAAGCCAGGGAACAAAATACACATGTTGATCCTTGGTTAAGCTCCCTTCTATGTGGTATCTCAATCAAATCATCTTGACACAAAGATTTATGTTAATAAATTCACTATGTTCTTTTAGTGTCGCAGGATATAATGTACAGAGCCAGATCCATTTAAAGCTACAATCATCTTTTTTTAATAGATATAATTCAGCTTGATTTTTTTTCATTTTTATTTTCCAGTAAAATTTCTACTGGAATTCTGTAGATTAGATAATGCTAAGGATGGGGGCAAACTAGAACTCAGCAGCTGCATTTCCTGCATTGGCTAACTAACCATCTGCTAGCTACCAGCAGTCTTTGGGAGATGGAGAAGTTGAGAACTCAAGGAGATGAGTTGTCTTCAAGACATCTTACAAAGATGAAAAAGATTTCACATTAAACCTTTAAAAAATCGAGCATTTATGTTAGGTCCTTTTTCTATTTTGTGTATTTTTCATATAATTAAAGTATTCTTTTGTTAATCATTCTTTATCTTTTTGTAGCACAGATAAAGAATTGCTACAAATACTCTCAAAATTCCTCTATTGTCCTATTTCAGTATTCTATAAACTATATGGTATAACTTCTCTGTTCTCATTAGGGTAGTAGTAAATTATAAGCATTCTGGGTGTTTTTTAAAAAAAAATTCAGAAATGATACTAATGACAGGGTGACTTGTGCAAAAGAAACCGTCTTCCAAGTGGCTCCTCCCCCAACCTTTTATTAAATGTATTCTTTTCTCATACAATATAATCTGAATACAGTTTCCCCTCCCTCTATGACTTCCAGTTCCTCCCAACCTCCTCTCCCATTCGGATTCACTCCCTTCTGTCTCCCATTCAAAAAGAACAGGCTTCTAGGAAGTAACAACAAAATATAACAAAACAAATAAAAAACCATCACATTCAAGTTGGACAAGGGAAGCCAACAGAAAAATAAATGAGCCCCAAGAGAAGGCACAATAATCAAAGACCCACTCATTTGCACATTTAGGAGTTTCACAAAAGTATTAAACTGAAGACTATAGTACACAGAGGACTTGGTGAAGACACATATTGCTGTTTCAGTCTCTGTAAATTTGTATGAGCTCTGCTCAGTTGTTTAGAGGGCCTTGTTCTCCTCATATCTTCTGTCCCTTCTGTTGTCCCTGCTCCTTCTGCCTCCCCTGAGCTCTGAGGGGAGGGATTTGATGGAGACGTCCTGTTTAAAGCTTTGTGTCCCCCCTCTCTCTTTCTCTCTTTCTCTCCCTCTTTCCCTCCCTCCCTCTCTCTGTGTAATGTCTAGCTGGGTCTCTGTATTTGTTCTCATCCACTGTAGGAGAAAGCCTCCCTGATGATGAATGAATAAGGCACTGATATATGAGTATGAATATTAGAAGAATAATATTAGGAATAATTTTATTATTATTTTTTTTAAGACCAGTAAGTAGTATTTGGTTTGACTCTAGGTCCCTGGGCTCTGGACTATCTAGTATCTAGTCTCCAGTTTTTGGTTACCCAAGTAGTGTTGGGTATGGGTTCTGTCTCATGGAATGAACCTTAAAATCAAATCAGACATCTGTTGGTTACTCCCACAAGATTTGTGCCACCATTGCTCTAGCTTATTTTGCAGGCAGGACAGATTATAGATCAAAGGCTTTATGGTTCTGTTGCTGTTTATGTTTCTCTTTTGGTAGCCTGCAGAGTACTTTTCCATGTCAGAGACACTTGACCGTGGAAGTGAAGGTTCTTTGTAGGAACCAACTCAACCTCTCCATGTTCAATGAGTTATGTGGATGTTGTCTTAACTATGGGGCCTTGCTGTTAGTTTGTGGAGAGCAATTTATTGTCTTTGCAATAGCCTGGGTTGTTTGGGGATTTCCATGGGGACCTTTTCTGTAGTCAGAGCTTTTCTGTGTCCCGTCCTGCCACTGGTCAGGACAAATCTCCCCCACTAGCATCCCCCAAGTAAACACACAGAGGCTTATATTAATTATAACTGCATGGCCGTGACTCAAGCCTTTTGCTAGCTAGCTTTTATATCTTAAATTAGCCCATAACTATTCATCTATATATCGTCACATGTTCCATGGCTTCACCTGCATTCCATTACATGTTGCTCCTTGGGCAGATGGCATCTCTCTCGGCCTTCTTCCTGTCTCTCTCTTTGAATTTTCTACCTGCCTCTAAGCTGCCTTGCCATAGGCCAAAACAGCTTTATTTATCAACCAATCAGAGCAACACATATTTGCAGCATACAGAAAGACATTCCCCCATCATCTTTCTGCTAACAACTCAATTGAATGAGACCCAGTTCCAATACTGGAAGCTTTATTTGGTGACAAAAGATGGCCAGTTGGAGTTCCTTCTCCCTCATTAACTGGAGATTCATTAGGATTGCCTTCATATATTAAGTATCCACTACACTAGCTGTCCATTCCACCCCTCAAATGCCTTTCAATCCTAGC